GGGGTGGGAATGGAGGGGGAGGGGGCGAAAAGAGGTCGGGGGCCTAAATGAGGTGGGGGGGGGCGGCCAGACTTGAGGGGCGTGGTCTAAACCGGAAGTGGGCGTGGCTTGTAGAGGAAGTTAGCGCCGTTTCCATGGGAACGCGGGCATGGTGTTTACAGGGATGGGGGCGTGGCTTCCAGAGGAAAAGGCTGGTTCGCAGTGGAAGGGGGCGTGGTTTAGCAGAAAAGTGGGCGTGGTTTAAGCAGGAAGTGGGCGTGGTCCCAAAAGAAAGGGGGGGCCATCCCAAAAGAAAGGGGCCGGGGTTGAACAAGGAAAAGGGGGGTCCCAAAGGAAGGGGGCCGGGGTTAAACAAGAAAGGGAGGGTGGTTAAAAAGGAAAGGGGCCGGGGTTAAAGAAGAAAGGGGCCGGGCCCCAAAAAGCCCCTCCCCTTTTGCAGGCCGCTGCTGCTCAGTGAGGATGAGGAGGACACCAAGCGCGTCGTGCGCAGCGCCCGCGACAAGAGGTGAGGGTATTGATCACCTATCGGTTATTGATCGCTGATTGGTAACCTGTCAATGGGCTCCCGATTGGTTATTGATCGGGTATTGATCAGGCATTGATTGGTTGTTGATCGGGAACTGATCGCCTATTGGTCCGGTATTGAATGGTCATTGATCGGGTATTGATCACCTATTGATCGGGTATTGATTGGTATTGATCATCTGTTGATCACCTGTTTATGATCTGCTGATCGGTTATCGATTATCTATTGGCCTGTTATCAGTTATTGGTCAGGGCCTGATCAGTTATTGATCACTTATTGATTGGCTACTAATCAGTTATTGACCCATTATTGATCACCCGTTGATCAGCTATTGATCGGTTATTAATTGCGTGTTAGTCAATTATTGATCCCCTATTGATTTGCTATTGATCTGCTATCGGTTCCACTGGTTGTTTATTGATTATTTATTAGTTGTTTATGGATTGGTTATTGATCACCGAATGGTTATCAATTGTTCCCCTATTGATTACCTATAGATTGTTATTGATGATCTTTGGATTAGTTATTGATTAGGCATTGGTCAGTTATGGGTCAATTGATAATTATTGATCCCAATGGCTCCCTATTGATCCCTATTGATCCCTATTGATCCCAGTGACTCATTATTGATCCCAATCAATGCCAATGGCTCCTTATTGATCCCTATTGATCCCAGTGACTCCTTATTGATCCCAATCAATGCCAATCACTGCCAATGGCTCCTTATTGATCCCTATTGATCCCTATTGATCCCAGTGACTCCTTATTGATCCCAATCAATACCAATGGCTCCTTATTGATCCCTATTGATCCCAGTGAGTCCTTATTGATCCCAATCAATGCCAATCAATGCCAATGGCTCCTTATTGATCCCTATTGGTTCCTATTGCTGGGGTTCCTATTGATTCCAATGGCTCCAAATCGATCCCTATTGATCCCAGTCAATGCAAATCGATCACTATTGATCCCCATTGATCCTTATTGATCCCCGTGACTCATTATTGATCCCAATCAATGCCAATCAATGCCAATGGCTCCTTATTGATCCCTATTGGTTCCTATTGCTGGGGTTCCTATTGATCCCAATGGCTCCAAATCGATCCCTATTGATCCCAACCGACCCCAATCGATCCCTATTGATCCCAACCGACCCCAATCGGTCCCAATCGATCCCAATCGATCCCAATCGATCCTGATTGATCGCAGGTACGAGGAGCTCACCAACCTGATCCGCTCCATCCGCAACGCCATGAAAATCCGCGACGTCAGCCGCTGCC